AAATATAACATAATTTTTGTACTATTCTAAAGCTAATTGACTTTTTCGGGGAACTTTTATTAACAGCTGCTTGTAGCTATGTTTTGGTATACTGTATCCCGCTTTGGGATAGAGAGTGTGAGGGGCATAAATGTTCATTAGAACATGAAATTTTATTAGTTAATAATTTTCTTTAATATGCAAGAAAGTTGAGCAAATGCACACATACTAATACTAATATATAAATATGTTAAGAAGTATGTTCTTGGCTTAATATTCTGTCTGGTTCATTAAAGTGGCATACTAATACTTATGACCTATTGCTATCAAGACTTTTGTTAAATTTTCAAAATAATTTGATGCATCATATATATATACTGCCTAAGCTTGAATAGATTTCTCCTCTTGTTCTTGGGACAATCATATCCTCAGTTCAACATCTAAGATAATTTAATGTAGTATCATAGATACTAATATAATAATAATACTGCTTAATCTTGAAAACGACATCTCTCATTTACCATTCTTCTTATTAAATCAGTTGCATTATTAGGTTCAATGTCAAAGGACTTGTTAAGATCAATTAATGCTTCATCATATTGCTTAAGGTTGAAATAGACTACTCCTCTTGTTTTCAATACAGTTGCATCTTCTGGTTCAATGTCTAAAAACTTATTAACATCAATTAATGATTCATCATACTGCTTAAGCTTGAGATAGACCTCTCCTCTTGTTCTTAGAGCAATTGTATCTTCTGGGTCAATGTCTAATGATTCATTGAGATTATTTAATGCATTATCATACTGTCCAAGTCTGAAATATACTTCTCCTCTTGTTCTTAATGCAACTGCATCCTTTGGTTCAATGTCTAAGAACTTGTTAAAATCATTTAATGCATGATTATACTGCATAAGATTAAAATAGACCTCTCCTCTGGTTCTTAGAGCAATTGCATCTTCTGGTTCAATGTCTAATGATTCATTGAGATCATTTAATGCATTATCATACTGTCCAAGTCTGAAATAGACTTCTCCTCTTGTTCTTAATGCAACTGCATCCTTTGGTTCCATGTATAAAAACTTGTTAAAATCATTTAATGCATTATGATACTGCTTAAGATTGAAATGGACCTCTCCTCTTGTTCTTAATGCAACTGCATCTTTTGGTTCAATGTCTAAGAACTTGTTAAGATCATTTAATGCATGATTATACTGCTTAAGATTGAAATGGACCTTGCCTCTTGTTCTTAATGCAACTGCATCCTTTGGTTCCATGTCTAGGGACTTACTAAGATCATTTAATGCATTATCATACCATTTAAACTTGAGATAAACCTCTCCTCTTGTTCTTAATGCAATTGCACTGTTTGGTTCAATGTCTAAGGACTTATCAAGATCAGTTAATGCTTCATCATACTGCTTAAGCTTGAGATAGACTTTTCCTCTTACTCTTAATGCAACTGCATTTTCTGGTTTAAGGTCTAAAAACTCATTAAGATCATTTAATATTAATATTAATGCATTACTATTCTGGGTAATTGCATTTTTTGTTTCAATGTCTAAGGACTTGCTAAGATCATTTAATGCATAATTATACTGCTTAAGCTTGAGATAGACCTCTCCTCTTGTTCTTAAAGCAATTGCATCTTCTGGTTCAATGTTTAGGGACTTGTTGAGATCAATTAATGCTTCATCATACTGCTTAAGCTTGAGGCAGATTTCCCCTCTTATTCTTAATGCACCTGCATCTTCTGGTACAATGTCTAAGAACTGATTAAGATCAATTAATGCATTATCATACCATTTAAACTTGAGATAGACCTCTCCTCTTGTTCTTAATGCAATTGCATCTTTTGGTTCCATGTTTAAAAACGTGTTGAGATCCCTTATTGCATTATGATACTGCTTAAGATTGAAATAAACCTCTCCTCTTGTTCTTAATGCAACTGCATCCTTTGGTTCAATGTCTAGGGACTTGTTAAGATCATTTAATGCATAATTATACTGCTTGCACTTGAAATAGACTTCTCCTTTTGTTCTTAAAGCAATTGCATCTTCAGGTTCAATGTCTAAAGACTTATCAAGATCAATTAATGCTTCATTATACTGCTCAAGCTTGAGATAGACTTCTCCTCTTGTTCTTAATGTAATTGCATCTTTTGGTTCCATGTATAAGGACTTACTAAGATCATTTAATGCATTATCATACCATTTAAACTTGAGATAGACCTCTCCTCTTGCTCTTAATGCAATTGCACTGTTTGGTTCAATGTCTAAGGACTTATCAAGATCAATTAATGCTTCATCATACTGCTTAAGCTTGAGGCAGATTTCCCCTTTTATTCTTAATGCACCTGCATCTTCTGGTTCAATGTCTAAGGATTTATTAATATTATTTAGTGCATCATTATAATGCTTGAGCTTGAGATAGACTTTTCCTCTTGTTCTTAGAGCAATTGCATCTTCTGGTTCAATGTCTAATGATTCATTGAGATCATTTAATGCATTATCATACTGTCCAAGTCTGAAATAGACTTCTCCTCTTGTTCTTAATGCAACTGCATCCTTTGGTTCCATGTATAAAAACTTGTTAAAATCATTTAATGCATTATGATACTGCTTAAGATTGAAATGGACCTCTCCTCTTGTTCTTAATGCAACTGCATCTTTTGGTTCAATGTCTAAGAACTTGTTAAGATCATTTAATGCATGATTATACTGCTTAAGATTGAAATGGACCTTGCCTCTTGTTCTTAATGCAACTGCATCCTTTGGTTCCATGTCTAGGGACTTACTAAGATCATTTAATGCATTATCATACCATTTAAACTTGAGATAAACCTCTCCTCTTGTTCTTAATGCAATTGCACTGTTTGGTTCAATGTCTAAGGACTTATCAAGATCAGTTAATGCTTCATCATACTGCTTAAGCTTGAGATAGACTTTTCCTCTTACTCTTAATGCAACTGCATTTTCTGGTTTAAGGTCTAAAAACTCATTAAGATCATTTAATATTAATATTAATGCATTACTATTCTGGGTAATTGCATTTTTTGTTTCAATGTCTAAGGACTTGCTAAGATCATTTAATGCATAATTATACTGCTTAAACTTGAGATAGACCTCTCCTCTTGTTCTTAAAGCAATTGCATCTTCTGGTTCAATGATTAGGGACTTGTTAAGATCAATTAATGCTTCATCATACTGCTTAAGCTTGAGATAGACCTCTCCTCTTGTCCTTAAAGCAATTGCATCTTCTGGTTCAATGTTTAGGGACTTGTTAAGATCAATTAATGCTTCATCATACTGCTTAAGCTTGAGATAGACTTCTCCTCTTGTTCTTAATGCAATTGTATCTTTTGGTTCCATGTCTAAGGACTTACTAAGATCATTTAATGCATAATTATACTGCTTAAGCTTGAGGCAAATTTCCCCTCTTATTCTTAATGCACCTGCATCTTCTGGTTCAATGTCTAAGAACTGATTAAGATCAATTAATGCATTATCATACTGCTTAAGGACTTTTCCTCTTGTTCTTAAAGCAATTGCATCTTTTGATTCAATGCCTAATAATTTGTTAAGTTCATTTAGTGCAATATCATACTGCTTAAGTTTGAAATAGACTTCTCCTCTTGTTCTTAATGCAATTGTGTCTTCTGGTTCAATGGCTAAGAACTTGTTAAGATCATTTAATGCAAGATTATACTGCTTAAGTTTGAAATAGACTTCTCCTCTTGTTCTTAAAGCAATTGTGTCTTCTGGTTCAATGGCCAATAATTCATTGAGATAGCTTAGTGCAGAACTATGCTGATTAAGTGTGCAGTAAGTATCTGCTAGTAATCTCAATGTCAGCATATTACTCGGCTCATATTCAAAAGATTTTCTAAAATCTTCCAAAGCATTCCTATATAGACCATGCATAAAGTATTCTGCTCCTCTATATCTTAATTCAAGCGCATCACCTGTATCAACGTTTAATAAGTGATTAAGTCGAGACATTGTTTGCTAATAGCTTGGTATTAGTATATTACTCACTGAATGACTAATTATAACTGAATTACGTTACAGTGGTACAGATTCACAGAAGACGTAACACGAAATAAATTTGTGATAGTGTCCAAAGCTATATGTAATGCTCGCTAAATTTCATCGTTGACGAATTGTTGTTGTAGTGTATTGAACTATAGTAAAGCACTACCGTAGACTACAGAATATAGTACCCCCCAAAATAATCTCCCCCAAAACTAGACCCGGGTACAATTTAGAAATTTTTTGCGATATATACCCGGATACAAACAGTTTACACAATGCGTTACTAATAAATTATAAATTGAACACGAAACATGACTAGGATGTTTTTATTACTCAACGTTTCGATCGTAATTACACTTACGATGTTACATATTACCAACACGCATCAATCTTGAATTGACATTTTAGCGAAGTATACTTTTCTCGTAAGAATAAAGCCAGATGTTTCTATAATCAATGGCCAATACCAACAAGTTACTACAGCACAATTAATTATAACTAACTACTCCAGAGATTTATATAATTCAGTTCGTTCTCGTCATAATAATTGTCACCAATTTGCTCGTCGATGATTATACAGTTGTCTGCAAGTGAATTATTTTCCAGCGTCGCCGTTCTTGAAGAATGCTCTCCAACCTCTTCGTCTATTGTGACGATTTGGTTAGGTGATGTGCTCAGGTGATCATAATCAAAAATCAAATCATTTTCGGACCCGTCTCGTTTTACAGAAATACCACAGCACTTTAACGACCTTCTGATTAAAGATGTGTCGACATCTTCCCAGGAATTTTTAACCCATGTTACAATTGTTTCATAAGACGGTCGCTTGATTTTTCCAGTAGGGGTATATTCTCTTACTTCATCCATCATCCAAGCGTTATATCTCTTTCGCACTAAATAAAAATAAAAATTATTTAGTAATGGACTATGATTATTGAATAATGCTTATATGACTCTTACCTTTGCTTTGAATGATCGTTTACAGCAACATCAAGAGGTTGTGATGTGCGCCGAAAATGAATCCATAACTAACAGTGACCGTGGGTTTGAGAAAGGGCAACGTTTACTCCAAATGCAGTCAATCCACCATCTCATCTCCGTTTCATCCATCCATCCGTTAGAGTTTGCTCGCACAAATACATCTGCAGGGAAGTTTGCACGTGGAACATTCTCGAGTTTAAAAATAATTACCGGCGGTAGTTTTGTTCCATCGGCCATACAAGCCAAAACTACAGTGAAATGCGATCTCTCATGACCCGTTGTTCGAATGTTGACCGTACGAGCGCCGCATTCATCAATTGTCAGATTTCCTGGAATGTCAAGGTTAGTGGAGTTTCATCCATGTTTCCGATAAACTTTATATCATAATTATTCTGAATACGCTGGTATAATATGAAGGATAAGAATTCGTGTTGTTTTTCAACCAGATCCTCTGGCAGTTTTTGTGAGATTGTTGTTCGTCGGCGATTACTCGTGTCATCACCATCAACCCATTTGTGGTAAACACAAATGACCCTATGTCAGAGTACTTATCAACCCATTCTTTTCGTTTTGCTAGTTCCTTGGCCTTCAGTTGCAGCATATACCTGGTAACTAGCTTACCCTCCTGGCGAAGTCTTTTTACCCAAGAGACAATAAATTCAGGGAACTTTGCTTTCCGTCAAGCTTCACGTGCGGTCTTGCTTGCATCAACATCTCCTTTTTCGCTCTCCAGTCACGAATTTGCTTTGGTTCAATATTAAATTTAGAAGCAGCAGAACGTACACTACAAACCTTCTCTTGATATAAAACAATGGCTAGTTTTTCCAATGCATTCCAACTTCGGCGCTTTTTCTCAGTGATGGTAGCTCTTGTTTCCACGCGGTATTTAAATTAACCAATGATATTCGCTCCTTAAAATCTTTCCCCGGGTACAAATCAAAAGTCAATCAAGATGTTTTAAGTATATACCCGGGGTACTATATTCAGTGGTCTACGGTAAATAAAATACTACGACAGGTAGTGAAATAAATTATTGTCCATGATACAGTTAGACCTGAAACCTCTTTATACCATCTCAAATTTTCCGGAACGATGACTATATCGATTGTCCATTGTATGCAAGAATGACGATAACTAATGCATTTGTCTATTTAAGCATCGCAATAGAAGCAAGCACTAGTCGCTTACTTTCGGAAAACCAACAACAAACCACAATAAATACCGTCAAATAATAAACAAAACATATCAAGCAATCCCATCAATTACGTCTTGCGAAAAATGTTTACACTCACAATAGCCAACTCAATCGTGTTGGCGCATTGTTAAGACTGGGAAAGTCAAGAAAGTTATAACTGTTAACAAAACAGTCAACAAATAAAACTTACTCGCCAGACCTTGAAAAATTGTGGAACGATTCAAGACAATTATACAGCAAAAGAACCGAATTGGATCCAAAATTTTCCTAACAAAATGGCGTTTGAAATTCATAAGTTGCTTAGTGAAGGAAAAGCAGTTGCAGCGTCCACAATACGAAATTTTTACTGCGAAGAACAACTCCGCGGAAAAAACCCATTATGCCAATCCAATCTTGGGTTGACGAAGAGAAGAAGAAAAATGTAAACTATTCAGACAGGGGTAAAAATGAAGTACACTCACCGGAAAAAAGTATCGACAAAATCTAAATGTTACACAAACTTTTGTTTAACTCGATAATCTTTAAAGTG